ATCATCATCATCATCATCATCATCATCATCATCATCAGCATCATCATCATCAGCAACATCATCGTCATCAGCATCATATCAGCATCAGCATCAGCATCAGCATCAGCATCAGCATCATCATCATCATCATCCTCATCATCATCCTCATCCTCATCCTCATCATCATCATCGTCATCGTCATCATCATCATCGTCATCAGCATCGGCAGCATCATCATCGTCATCATCATCATCATCAGCATCAGCATCACCATCACCATCATCATCACCATCATCATCATCATCATCATCAGCATCAGTATCATCAGCATCATCATCATCAGCATCATCATCATCACCATCATCATCATCGTCATCAGCATCATCAGCATCATCATCATCAGCATCAGCATCATCATCATCAGCAGCAGCAGCATCAGCAGCATCATCATCATCAGCATCAGCATCATCATCATCAGCAGCATCAGCATCATCAGCATCATCATCCTCATCATCATCACCATCAGCATCATCCGCCTCCTCCTCCTCCTCGAACACCCTGGCACACCAACTGGGCAGCTGCACGCTTGCCGAGGCTGCCGCTGCGCGAGAGGAGGCTGACGTCGGCGAGGCTTTTCTCCAGGCAGTACGTGGAGCTCCAGATGACGGTTTTCTCCTTCGAGGCTGCTTCAGCTACACCGACGCGGACCTCCTTGCCATGGATGATGGCAAGCAAGCGTGCATAGTGGATTTCAGTAGCGATGACGTGGACGCTGAGCCGGAGGAGATGGTCGCTGCAGTTCTAGACGACAGCGTGGAGTGCATCGAGATGGCTATTGATGGGTCGTGCTCCAAGCAGCTGATCGCTGATCTCCAGAGGGCGGGGTGGGCGATCGAGCTCCTGGACCCAGTCGGATCGGTGCCGCTCAAGGTGATGTATGGGCAGTGCCAACCACGCTCCCACAAACATCAGCCAAGTGACCGCTCGTCCTACGGTGCTGCACGCCGATTTCAAGGGAACGATACATGCTTTGGAGAAGAGACCCGAGAAGATTATGAAGGTAAACCAAAGATATGGTGGAGTGTTTGCGTTCGCGAATGGCATTGACGGCGTGAATCACATCAAGGCGGGCAAGCACCTCAAGGCCCACGGCTCAGGACAAGAATACGCAGAGCTGGATGACGAGGCCAAGCGCATCACCTTATGAGGCAACTACTGGGAGGTCTTCGTCGGAAAGATGAAGGAGGATTAAGCCCCATTGGGGGGCTGTTACGCCGGAGTGGGCCTCGGATTAAGCGGGATTAAGCCGGATGAAGCGGGATTAAGCCGGATTAAGCCGGATTTCGGACTAGGGCAAAATCAGAATTTGACCTCCCAGGAGTTGCATCCGAACATCACCGACGGCAACGTGGTGGCGGACAGGTTCGCAGATCTTGGAGCAAAAAGGCACTGCAGCGTGACCCACGATTTTCAGGAGAAGCTGGAGGAGGCCGCGGTCCTGTGCGGCAAGCCTGCGCGGCTCGTCGCTCATGTGCTCCCAGCTTGCGGCCAGGAGGAGGAGCGATGGCAGCGAGCAACCACAGGCTACAAGCGGGCCAAGAGCATCAGGAAGGAGGGCTGGCACGACTGGCAGGGCACGGAGGTGGGCAGAGAGTGCATGCTGTGCTGACGACTCAGGCAACCAGGTAGCGAGGACCTCAACGGCTGCAAGGGCACACCGACCTTCCTCAAGGACTACCTCGCCAACCCGCTCGGGCACAAGCTCATCCCTGTCAACCATAAGGGCGACCTCCAGGACCTCACCTGCAAAGCAACGGTGTTCGTGTACACGGGGTGTGGTGCCTGGGCGCAGCAGAGGAGGAAGTTTGAGCTGCGCGAACCATGTACATGGCCGACGGCGAAAGGAGTTTAAGTTTTACAGAGCCTTCGGGAAGAAGTTGGTCCGCACAAAAGGCTGGACAAGCTGATACATGCAAGCCTTCCAGGCCAACATTAAGTGGAAGCCCCAGTAGAGGCCGGCATGAAGGTCACGCAAATTGCCAGGACAGATCCGTCAGGGCCATACGAATTCGAGACGCGGATGGCCAAGCTGCACGAGCGGATACGACTACGTGAACAGGCGGCCAGGCGAAAGGACGACGAGAACAACACCGTGTTGGGCAACAGCGGCATCGTGAGCAACGACAGCAGGAATTCGATGGTGGGAGAAGGCCAGCGCGAGTCCGAGACGCGGCGGGCATCGGCACAGGGTGTGCCGCCAACCTCCGCCCTCGTCGCCAAACTCCTTGCCCAGGAGCCCAGGCGTCAGCTGGCCAGGACGTCTGAGGCAGGGCTGAACCTAAACGGCGTTTTTCGTTCTCGTTTTGTTCTCGTTTTCCCTCGCTTTTGTCGCGAATCCGCCTTTACCGCAAAACGAAGTCGAGACGAAAACGGCCCACGAACTCACCAAAAACACCGTTTGGGCCCAGCCCTGGTCTGACGCTCTGCCCGAGCCTCGGGGCAGCAGGAGCACCATGGAAGGGTCGGAGGCCGTCGCTCCCGACGGGGTCCCTGGCGCGCTGGCCTCCGCGAGGGTCCCATATGCAGGCTCGGGGCCTCGACGGCGTCTCGGTCGGGGATGGGCGGCAAGCAAGTCATGTGCAGCCAGCCCGGCACGCAGTCGGAGAGATCTGAGTTGCACGATGGTCTCAAGAGATAGGCTGCAAACCAGATGTGGGATACGAGAGGCGAGCAGTTCCTGTGGCCAGCCGTCTGGCGGGAGTGGTGTGAGGCACACCTGCGGCGTTACCTCGAACGTCCTGGACGAGAAGAGCTGGCACGTGCGCTCGAATGACAGTATGAAAGGCCACTCTCAGCAGAGCTTATTCATGGTACATGTGTTCGTGCCTGGGACAGTGCCCGACAAGATAGGCGTGACTTCTGCGACTTCCTGCGCACGTGCAACGAGGACGAATGGACGATCATGGCTGAGAGTCACCGGAGGCAGCTGGACGGCCTCGTCACGATGTTCAGGAACACGCTGCGGGATCCAAAGGATGCTGCACGGCGTCGGCAAGAGCGGCAAGACGAAGGGCAATCTCGTGGGCGATGCCAAGCACGAAGCAGGCCCTGTCCAAGCTTGACGACATGGCTAGCGTTGGTGGCAGCAGCTGTAGGTACATCGAGGACGACAGGCTGCGATGGCAGTGGTGAAGTGAAGGAGCAGTCGCGCAGGCGCAGGATCAACGGCAAAGGTGCGGCGAAACGCGGACAGACTGCAGCAGCAGCTGCATCCTCATCGAAAACGACACCGTCGACAATGGCAAGGTTGACGGGCACGAGTCCAGGGCATGGCCTCCCAGGCTCAAGGTCGCCACGTGTTGTGCTGGACGGCGTCTGATCGCAAATCCAGGAGATGGCGCGTCAAGGAGATGGCCTCCCTGGTTAGCGTCGCCACGTCTCGATGTTCTGGAACTCCTGGGGATGGCCTCCCAGGCTCGGAGTCGTCACGTAGCGAGCTGGACGGCGTTAGATCGCAAACCCAGGGGATGGCCTCCCTGGCTCAAGTCGCCACACCTCGAGATTCGGGCTCACACGGTGGCGCGGGGCTGAGTGACGGCGATCAGCAGTCGGCCAGACATTTCCAGCCCACGACGTTGGGTGGCGAGGTCGACCCTTTCGACCATATCGACGACGAGGGTGCAGGAAGGCGAAGCCGAGAGCTACGACTCCGAGGAGTGGCTGTACGGCTTCAGCCGCGTCCCCTGACAGGGGAGTGCCGCCCGTGGCGGCGCATGAGAGGCGCAGGCGGGCCCGCGTCCTGGCCCGAGGCCGGAGCTGCGTGTGCGCGGAGAGTCATTCATTCATTCACTCATTCACTCACTCATTCCTTCCTCCTCCTCCTCCTCCTCCTCCTCCTCCTTCTCCTCCTCCCCTCCCCCTCCCCTCCCCCTCCCCCTTCTCCTCCTCCTCCTCCTCCTCCTCCTCCTCCTCCTCCTCCTCCTCCTTTCTGCCTCGGTCCGGCTGGAACACGCGTCCCGAGGGTCCTCGACGGCAGGAGGGCGCCAGCTGTGCACCCGTGCACCGATCCCGGCCACCGCCCCTCCCCGGGCCCAGGGTCGGCGCTCCGCGCCAGGGCCGGACCCCAGACGCTGCTTTTCGTGTCGTGTTCGTTTTGTCGTTCGTTTTGCTCTACCAAACGTTGTCCGTTGTGCTGTTCGTTGTGTGTTCGTGTTGTGTTCGTTTCGTTGTGTTCGTTGTGTTGTTCGTTTTTGTTCGTGTTGTGTTCGTTTTGTTGTTGTGTTCCCCTGCGCCTTCCTGCCAAAACGAGAAGCAAAGCACAGCCGAAGTCCAGCAGAAAAGGTGTTTGGGTCCCGCCCTCTTCCGCGCCCTCCCTGCTGGCTTGGCCTTAGGTCGGGCGCGTCCCCCTACAGGCGGATTTTGGATGGAAAATGAAACAATGCTGACACAAATACTCAAAAATTTGCAAACATGGTAAAAACTCGTCCCCATACTATTTTCTGACTGTTTCCAGATTTTCTTCCCGTAGAGGGACACGCCCGACTCAAGCGTGGCCGCGCAGGCTACACTCACGAGTGGCACGCACGCCCCAGCGCTCGCCACGAGGGCCAGGCGGGGGCCAGGAGAAGCTCCCTGGCCCTCTCGCGCGAGGGCAGGCGAGGGCCAGGAGAAGCTCCGACGCGTGTCCTGGCTCTCGCCACGAGGGCAGGCGAGGGCCAGGAGGAGCGGGGTGCGCAGGGGTGGGTTCTTGGGGCTGCCCTGGTGTTCTCGTGGGGCCATCACGACCACGATCGGGCAAAGGTGGGGGGGGGCACGGGGGGCGACAAGCGAACGAGCGAGCGACGACGACAAGAGGAGGCTCCGAGCTCTGGAACACAGCCGTGCAAGAGCAGTGAACCGATCCTGGGCCCAGGATCGGCCTTGGAGGCGGCTGGGGGGTCTGAGCTGGTTGGGACCCGAAAAGATCGGCCAGGAGGCGGATATGAAGCCAAATCCGCTCAAAATCAGTCCGCGGACCTCTCCCAGGGTCCATTCTGGTGCAGTTTTTCATCCCAGATTTGGCTTTTCATGGTCCTTAGCCCGAAAACGCGGGTCGAAAACAGCAAAACTGAGTGGCGACATCCGAACCCTACCCACACTATCCATTGATTCTCCCGAATCGGTGGGAGGAGAGGGTAGGGCTCGGATTTCGCCAGTGTTCGACGAATTCGGAAACCTACCCCCGCCGCCCATCGAGTCGCCCGAACTGTTGATCGGCGAGGGTGGGGTTCGGATTTCGCCGCCGAACAACACCTTCCCGAACCCAAACCCTCGAACCTGCCTGCACTTCCTGCTGGCCGGAGCCAGTGCGGGGCCACCTATCAGACCCCCCTGCAGACGAGTCCAAAACTGGGGCCGATCCCGTGCCCATGAGATCGGCCCGTCGCAGGGCTCGATGCGGGTACAGAGCTGGCGCCCTCCGCGTCTGGGCCGGACCCCACCGAGTCTTCTCGGTGGCTCAAGGATGGGGTCCTGACGGACGGGGAGCTCAGGGTACGAAGGGATCCACAAGGGTGGATCTGCGCTGCTCGAGGCACCTCGCCCTCGGGCCCCCATCCCTCAGGGCCCCATCTTTGAAGCACCGAGGCTTCACGTCCTGCGCCGCCGCCGCCGCCGGTGCCCTGGCCACCCCGCGCAGGGCTGCTGGCCTGCGCGCGCACGCACGCCTCGGTGGCGGCCTGGTGCGCGGCCTGCGGGGGAGCCAACCCTCGAGCCCTGGACCCTTTTGAAAGGCACCCAGACATCCGTGGCGGCCCAATTGCCACATCTACCGAGAAGCCGGAGGAAGATGAAGTGCAGGTGAGCACGCCGGCGTCAACAACAGAAAGAACGTGGTCGGTCGGGCATAGTTCGCTCGACAAAAAGGGCCCAAACTCCTGCCTCGGTCATCCCGGTGGGTTGTCCGAGCCGCGTCCCGCCTGTGCATTGGCGATGCGGCTCGCGACCCACTTGCCCCATCCACCGAGAAGCAAGGAAAAATGCAAATGCTGAAGAATTCAACCGTCGAGGCTCGAAGAACCTCGAAAACCTCCCAGCCCGCCGGCAGACATCCTCCAGTATGGTGCTTTCAATCCGCGGCCCTATAGCTCCCCCTCGCTGGGGGCAGGGCTTCGTCACAGATCAGTATTTGATGGCCCCAGGGCCCGATAACGCCCCCAGAGGGCCGAGATGCGATGAGGCATGGGCATCGATAATTCTACTCCCCAGACCTCTCTGGGGGCGCGTTCGGACCAGATTTGAAAGCGAATCCGGCTGTGGCGACGAGGGCCTCCCAGGAAGCCCAAGAAAGCGGAAACATGCGAACAGCAGCGAAATCGGTATTCCTCCTCCTCTGGGCCTCTTCGGACAGCGCTGTCCACAGCCGCGAGTCTGCCAGCAGGTCCCCGGCGCCGGGCCGCGCGGACGGTTCTTTGGAAAGCAACAGTGCCACCAGCGCCACGAGCGGGTCTGGACGCCCCGAGTCCCTCAGCGGCGCCTGGTGGCAGGGAGTGGCCACCTCCTTTTGTTCCTTCTCTACCTCCTCCTCCTCCTCCTCCTCCTCCTCCTCCTCCTCCTCCTCCTCCACCTCCTCCTCCTCCTCCTCCTCCTCCTCCTCCTCCTCCTCCTCCTCCTCCTCCTCCTCGCTTTCCTCCTCCTCCTCCTCCTACAGAGAAAACAAAACAGTGGCAATGAGAAGAAATCTTTTTCATCAAGCGGGGTAGGAAGTGTAAACAAGCGTGCCTTGCACCGCCATTAGGCGCTTGTGAACTTGACCATCCCCCGACCAGGCACTCCAGGTCGGGTAAGCTACGATCGATGACGCAAAAAATGTCTGGCAGCACACGATTCTAAGCAAATGGGCAACGTGTGTTGTATGTGTTGAATGGTCATACATGTATAAACATGCTAAAACATCTAAAAACATGTGTTGTATGTATGCATGTATACACACAAAACACAACACAAAAACGAAATCCGCCAAAACGAAGTCCGCGATTAACACGAATTGACTTAAATGCTACCCATGGAGAAAGTGACAAGGCGGTACAAAAGGCGAAAGACTGTCGAGCGGAAGGGAGGCGGATAATGTTAGACGGCTAGCTGTCATTCAATGCCTGCCTTTTCGCCCTGACGGATGCTGCCCTCGATGGTGTACCCTTTCCTTGGCCTTTGCCCGCGTCGATGCGCGCGAACTCCTCTTCGCGGATACGCCTCCGCGTGTACATGCGCACCTGCGCATCGCGCTCCACAAAGCTATCGTCATCCCAGGCGATATATTCCAGGCGGCAATTTCCTCATCGCTGTCGCACCACGCACCGATGGCCGCATCGCGATCAATCCTGGGCTTTTCGCTGGCGGACTGTTTGCTAATTTCTGTTAACCTGCAAAGTACCTCCCAGCAGGTGAAGTCGGGATGCCCGAGGAGGGGCGCAGTCCACCTCAGGTTTCGATTAGCCAGCTTTCCCTCGCACATTGTCCCCGAATGAAGGTTGACCGCCCAAGACTGAATTCCTGAGAGCGACGTCGCAGCTCTTGTGAAACACTTCCAGGTCATCACCGACGTCGATGAACTCCTGCGCTAGCTCACTGGCTGGGAACCGAACTGCAGACGGGCCCGTTTGAACGCCTCCATGATCGTTAAAGACTGTCGAATCACTGTGGAGCACTTTGGCGGTCAGCATGGCGGCGCATCCCGGCCAGAAGACGCCGCGCCAAATGGCGCCCATGTTTTTACACCCTCTCTACTGGAGCTCGGGCGCGCTAGCAAGGCAGACCTGGGCCGCGCCGCCAATGTCCCGATCGCAGAGCCGACGAGGGATGCGGCCATTCACTCGGGGGCCACGATTACCCTCTTGGTCATCGGGGAAACGCACCTGAATGTTCATCGCCCGCCCTGCCCAATCACCGCGCCCCCCCACGCGATGCCCTGCGAAGGCCGCCACGCCGCCCCGGCTGACCTTCGCGGCAGGCTTAGGGACACACGCAGTATACACGACCGCAAATCCTCTCGAATGAGCCCCGGTAGCGGGTGCAAAGGTCTTCCCTGGTGGCGACGTTCCAGATTGGAATTCCAGGTGACACGCTTCGCGGATAAGCCGGCCCCTGATGCGATCACCCCACCACCTCCTGATTGCCCAAGTTAGGCTCAGAACCCCGTTCGGCGGCCCTCGGTACTTGGGGCCCTGGCTAGGCTGGCCGGATGGCAAAATCAAGTCGCCCCAAATTTCGAGGAGGCGCCCCCTGGGCATCGTCGGTCGAAAAACCTGCGTCTGCTATGCCCCGAGGGCGCAGACGCGCCTCTCGGCCCTGCGCACTGGGCGAACGGAGGGACGAAGGACGCCTGAAGGGCGCCCCTGAGAGCGGCGAGTCCGACTCCGACGCATCCACGGGCGTGCCCTTGCCGGTAATTCCGTTGCCTTCGCCTCTTCCTTTCATTGCATCGCCCGTCCGACACTTCCGCCTGCGAGCTCGCCCCCCCCCCCCCCCTCAGTTGCGCGAAACTGACCGCGACCATCTGCTTCGAGAAGGCTAGAGCCAGACGCACTCGAGGCGCCTGGTGAGTGAGATGGCGCTGCCACGAAACCCACGAAAGTCCTCCGCTTTAGCTCGCACCAAGTTATCGCCCTGGTCGCCAGCTGCACGGTCAATGGCCCCGAGGTGTCAAATTTCTCACTGCACCGACCTTACAGACGTGCTACAGCAGTTTTTGATGCGCGGATTCCTGCGATAACAAAACACCGAAATTGCGAACGAAGAACGACATGAATTCGGAATGAATTTTCTGTAATTGTCATTCCTGGCCCAAGAAAAACCTGCGCGAGATTCAATCCAAGACAGTCGGGGCCCATCCCAACGTTTCAAGAATATATATATATATATATATATACCAAAAAAAAAAAAAAAAAAAAAAAAAAAAAAAAAAAAAAAAAAAAAAAAAACGCTCTGCGATGTTGGCGCCGCGAAGTGTCTCCCAGGGCCTAGTTGAGTTAGGCGCGCGAGCCCGGGGGCCCCCCCCCCCCCCCCCCCCCCCCCTCAACACCGCAGTCACCCCGTACATGTTGCTGGCTCCTTTGTCGCTGATGTCGGTGATTTCGCGCATTTCTAGCGGCCCTCTCTAAATTACGCGACGCCTCCCCTCGGCGGCGTCGTTGGCTCTTTTTTCACATCACGGATTTGGTCGAGCCACTCCTTGTTGCGGTCCACCATTCGTTCAGCGCTTGCTGGAGCACGTCGAACCTGCCCCCTCCTGATTTCCCAGCGCATCTCAAGCGGCGTCGGTTACGTAGTCTTGAATACGCCCCAGCGAAAACGCGCGCAGCGCTGGAACGCGCTAGCCGCGACCGTCGGCGAATCTGGACAAAAACGCTGACTTCGGCGCGCGATGGCGGAGCGATTTCGCGCGCCCCCAGGAAGGCAAACGGAACGGCATGCAACGCGCCCGTTAAGCTACCGACAGCGCGCGAACAGCCCCCGCGCACTGCGACAGACGAACACGAAAAAACTGTTGATACCCACGCGGAGTTTCATTCAACATACCCCACAATTCATACAATACAGGCGATTGATTGCACTCCCACGCAGCACGCGACGCGCGTGAGAGTCACAACATATTGCGCGGAAGCGCAGTTCGCTGCGCGCGCTACTTTTTCAGCTTGATGCCTGGCGCGTTAAATGTCGGGACAGTTCAAATTGTCGCGGAAATTTCAACGCATGTCAATGAACTTCACAATCTGGCAAGACACTGTAAGAAACGCGAGCAGATGGAACGTTGGGCATTCAATGTTGAGGAATCACGCGTCAAACAATGCGCACCACGTTAATGGGAAGCACAACTTCGCAGGGGGGAATGGACATCCGCGCAGCTGCGACGCGGGGGCGGAGCCGGCGGGGGGCGCGCAGGAGAAAGGCCTTGCTAGAGGCAGTCGAGCGCCCTCCTGGGCCCACAATCCCAGCGCATCAACTGGCCCACGCGGACGTTCGTCGGATCTGCCGCTTCACGAACACTAGCATGTCGAATGATGGTGGAGTGCGCATGGTTATTGAGTCGCACAACGCACCCCGCTCCATACCGTCGAGGCAGGTGATGTCTTCCTCGGCGATGGGTCCTGGATTGGTCACGTCGGACTCCTCGCCGACGATGGTTCCCTGAGTGCTCGGCTCGAGCTCGCCAGCCGCCACGCCTGCGCCTGCCATCGCGAGGTGCCTGAGAACAGGTGAGTGAGCGGAGATAAGAGGTATCACTAAAATTGGCGCATGCCCCTTCGCCCAGCACTCAGTCGCAGGAGCCAGCTCATGCCCCTCTTTCTTGCGATACTGTTCCGCTCCTCATGCGTCCTCACCCCTCACTGTTCACATGCTTATGTCAAATGATTCTCAGTGTGCACTTGGGCCAAGTTGATGATTCAGTCCTTACGTTGTTTTGCAAAGGCAACTTGCATGCCTCGAGATGCCTCACTTTACCCAACCCTCGCCCGCTGGCAATGCCAATCGCGGCTGCGGTGGACGTCGCAGGTTGCGCCGCAGTCCCTTCACAATGACTGCAGTCCGAGTGCAACTGATGCACCTCTCCACCATTCCTTAACACATTGCTGCCACCGGTGAGAATTCCACTACCGACTGGGTCGTGCTCTCCGAATGGTCGTGCGCTTCCCCACATTACTACCCTTCCGCTCGTAGATTTCCTCGCCCTCTTACATCCTGCGTAATCAGTATCAGTGCACGTGGCGAGGTGCGAGGGCAATCGCTGATACTCATGCGCGCATCCAGCCCTGTCGCGACAACTCATGCTTACCTAGCTTGACTTGCGCTCGCCAAGATCCCACCGCGGGCGCTGACATGCACCTCGCGAACTGTTCAATTGCAAAGAGAACGTCGAATCTATATTCGGTCAAATGAGGCTCGGGCCACTAATGCTTGACATGTTTGGTGGCCCGTTTCGCTTAGCGCTTTGTTTTGTTCTGAAGTTCCCCACTGGCACTCGACGCCTCGCATGCTCTGGTCTGACCCAAGCTCTCTCGCAAATAACTCTGCATGCCTTGAGTCAGCCTCAAGCCTGGCCCCCTCCTGTGCCCAGTCCACGGTTCGGTTCAGAATCGGGAGTGACGTTGCCCCGCCCCGCTTGGCCAACCGACGTCAATGCACCCATCCAGCAAGGCGGGCACATTTCCGCGCGCGATGAGCCCGACGCTCCTGCGCTCGCGCTTCAACATTCAAAGCGACGCAAGTCCAGATGTCAACCCGGCACGCACGTACACTTCCACGCAATACACGGCCCCCCCCCCACCCCCACACACACACAGGCAGACAGACAGACAGACAGACAGACAGACAGACAGACACACACACACACACACACACACACTTGCGCGCTGCGCCACGGGCGCCAAGCAATGACGTGAGCAGCTTACCGCGCGCGCCCAGCTCATGGTCTTCTGCCACCAGCTTAACGCACATGCCTTCTTGAGCGAGCGCGTAGAAGCACGAGCGCTCAATGTC